AAGAGAGGAGATTGATTGTGGAGGAGTGGTTATGGGTTGCTGAATTAATGGTTGTTTGGAGACTGCAAGGCAAAGAGCAGCGAGAGTAGTAGATGAATGAGATGGAGGAGAGGATGGAGAGAAAGAATAGGAGGTTGCAGAGGGAGGGGAAGCTTTTGGAGGTTGTTGAGCTGTGGTCTTTTGCCATGGATGGCAAAGGGAAGATGATGATGGCCAGAAGGAAGCAAGGGAGGTACAGATATAATGTAAGAGACTTGGGATCGTTGCACAATCAAGGAGTCTTCAATTTTTTTCCCTTAAAGTTTTCATTTTTCTTAATTTATTTTAGTTGACTTGAGAAATGTGCTCCCCATGTGCATTTGTTCTGGATTTTAGGCAGATTCTGGTGCGCTTCAAGGGAGTTTTGAAGCGCACTCTACCTTAGTTTTGTAAATAGCCAATTGCTGCAGTTGAATTTGACCAAAAATAAGACTCTAGCTCAATCCTTTTTTAAATTTTTTTTATTTTAATTTTCTTTGAGACTCGTTAAACTTAAATTTTAAAATTAACAGGGGTTTGTACGCTCTAAACACGTGTTTGCATGTCACACCTAAATCTGCTAAGTCAGTTCTCTTGGTTCATGGGTTCGAGCATGCCTATGCGCGGGATCAAGTGGTTAGGCACATGAGGTTGGTTAGGGGCTCGTATCATAGCCTTTGGCCAATCTTTTGAAAACTAAGGCCTAAATGGATTTAGTGGCATATTTAAATTTGTATTTATTTATAACATTTTCAATCTTTTGACCCGAACCCGACCTGTATAATCCATTTAACATAAGACATAACAACTATACAAGTCTATTTCAGATCAAATTCGGGTCACTTCTTGGTCAATCTCGGGCCAATTTTTAGTTTGCGGTTAATTTCGAATCAGTTTGGGCTGGCGGGTGAACCCGAACCCGACTCAAAAAATTAAACAATTAGGATTCCTAACTCAAACCCAACCCGAAAATTATTCGGGTCATCAACTCAAACCTGGATTTTTCAAGTCGGACTGAGTTGGCGTTTCAGGCTAATTTTTGACACCCATAGTTGAATGTGTAGGTGTTAGATTTGTAAATACATAAAAATTGCGTCGTATGTATGTAAATTCCCCTTTTTCTATTAGGTGTTCACATGTTTCTTGTTGTGCAAGGCAATGTAATTTCCTTCTGGATTCTAGCTATTAAATTGAACATAGAAATGGAACGAGTTCAATTATTTCCTTGCTGTTCCTGCAAGTACTGTATTTGGAAAGATTTACATACATACCACCCTCTTTCTTTGTATTTGCATATTTAACGCCTAAAAGTTCAATTTTTATATGCCTACCATCTTACCCATGCATGAAAAGGTGTATTTCACATTTTAAATGTTAAAATAGTAATATTTTTTATGTGATACGAAAGATTTAGGTGGTATAAATGTACAAAAACAAAGGTTTGCTGTTAGATATGTAAATAGATAGGAATTGGGTGGTATGTATGTAAATGCCCCAAAAATTTGATATTTTCTACTTTCTGTTCTGTTTGATTCTATTACTGCTTTGGTTAGCAATCATTGGCATTGATTCAACAAAGTTTTAAGTGTTAGATATCTGAATACATTGGAAGTGGGTTGTCTATATGTAAATGCCCCAAAATTTTGACATTTTCTGCGTTCAGTTTTGTTTCATTCTATTTCTGCTTTGATCAGTAATCAGTCTCGCTGATTCAATGCTTATTCTATATGTGCAGTTAACTCTTGTTCACCGGGGTGCATCGGTGCCTGCACAGCTTTCAATCTCGTAAATTCGGACTCCATTTATACGATTTATTCGCACGGTTCCTAACCATATTTCGTACATAACATGACCTTCATTCTCTAGCCCCTCATTTAAACTCAACTTCATCAATAGTTACTTGATCCTTTACCTTCCTGCTTTGACATAAATGCTCAAATTTGTGAATCTTTAAATTACAGAACTGTTATTATGATTCACAGTCACACCACTGAAGGGGTGAAAGGGTGAAAACAATAATATTTTCATTTTACATGTCTCAGTTTGGTAATTTGAATGATTGTTACATCGTTCCAAACACTGTTTGTTTCTTGAGATGAAGAGATAAATTCACTTCTTATTAAGTTTGCACAGTTTAGAATAGCCCTGTTATTACAACTTTACAATATAACACAATCTTGTTGGTGTTGAATTTAAGCTTTTATTTAGTTGTGATGTTGAAGCTGCTGATTGAGCAGAAAGACCTCGCTGTACAAAGCCTCTTCTGCTAAGCTTTTTTTTTTGGGGACATTTGCATGCATAGCACACAATTCTTATGTATTTACATATCTCACATCTAAACTTTCGTATTTACACGCAGCACTCAAGTCTTTAATACCACATAAAAAATATCATAATTATATATATTTTTTTAAAGTAAAATACATGGTACTATGTATGTTAATATGAAAGTATAGGGGTGAGATATGTAATATAAGAATTGCGTGCTATGCATGTAAATTTCCCAAATTTTTTTTTTTGGCTTCTGGGAAGGGTGAGCGCCCGAATCGGACTCCTTGGGATTCTTCGCCTCAGCTTAATTTCAACTTGATAATTAGTAGGAATCTCGAGCGAGAAAATATTACGTGCGGTGAACGTAAATGTAATATTTTCTGTCTCAAGAACCATTCTTTTTGTTTTTTCGCCATTCCCATGGCTTTTCAGGATTAGCTACAGCCCATAAGCCTATGCCGGCTTCTCTGGCTTCCTTCTCCCACTGCAATTTTTACTTAATCAATGTGAGAATACAAGTTTAGTGAAATCGTCACTGGGGTCATTGACATACATTCAAATCTTATGAATGTACATATATCTAACATTTAAAAACTTATTTTTTTACATTTATACCACCCATATCTTTCATATCACATTAAAAGTATCACCATTTTAATTTTTCAGAAGTAAAATACACATTTTTCATGCATGCGTGAGGTGGTATGTATGTAAAAATGAAAGTATAGGTGTTGGATATGTATATAGGAAATGAGGGGTATGTATGTAAATCTTTCCTTCATTTTAGTTTCTATGCCATTTAAGACTTACTGCTGCGAGCTCTGGTCTTTTGTCGTAAGCATTGTAGTGCCATGCACATCCCCTTCTCAGCAGCTTCTCCTGTAAATAAAGTTGTTCCGGCTCAGTGATGTGATGAGAAAAGTAATCTGTTTAAGAAGATATCGACAAGCCATAATGTCTACTTTATATTGCTTTTTTTTTTTCTTAATTTATTTTTAGGATATTATATATAAATATATAAAAATTGTGTGGTATGTGGCATGTTGGTAGAGCGGTCTCTCTGAAGGTCATAGGTCCCCTCAGGTCATGGGTCTGAATCCCTCCATGTGTAGGATGTTGTACTCGAATATTTAGCACACTTAAGGATGGTTGGGGTTCGTCTAATAGACTTTGGCTATTCCTTAAAAAAGAGGTATGTGGGTAAATACCTCTTTTTTTATTATTTTATGAGACTTTAACTTCTAAATTTTAATTTTGAGGAAAACATTATAGATATAATATTTGACTACTATTTTTTAGGGGTATTTACAAAGACTATATTATATAAAAATATCACTGTCATTTCTTTTTTTAAAATATAAATGCACATTTGCATGAGTAGACTTATCAAACTAAAGTTTTATAAATATAAATATAATAGTTTAGTTGTTAGATTTCTAAATATATAAGAATTGTGTGATATGTATGTAATTTTTTCTATTTTTTAACAGCAACTGATTTACTTGTATAATAAATAAAACAAGAAGAATTATTGACAGACCTGTACAAACGTGCCATTACAGTAGATGTCCCCAACACAGCGGCCATATCGATCATCTCCATACACATAAACCTTGACTCGCTTTCCTTGCACCAACTTAACTAGCTCTTCTTTAGCTTCCTTCCCGTAAGGCATGGAGCTCTCAGGAGCATCAATTCCCCTGCTCATTTTCCATCAGTTAAATAAACCTCATTCAACATTGACAAAAAAAAGGAAAAAAAAAAAAAAAGAAAAAAACATTCACTCTTCTTACCTTAGCCTTATTCGATATTTTTTCGCCAAAGTTTCTTCGCCTTTTTGCCCACTCACAACCCTACGAAATCAATGATGGATTGTTAGCTACAATTGCTTGGTTAAGTGAAACATCTATCTCTAACTCTTATCAGTCTCTTTACCTGTATCCGGCATCTGTTATGATCTTATGGAGTGCATCCGCCTTCTTGAAATCCTTAGCGGCTCGAGCCTTGGCTCTTGCGGTGGCGGCCTTTCGAACTTGTTGAGGGACTGTAGATGATTCTCTTGGGTCGGCCGCATCAACATATACAATGACCGTATCTCCATCTGCTATGGATTTGAGATCAATCTATTGATAGAAATTGATCAATTTGAGTGGAGATTAGATATCTGCTTGATTGTGAGTTCAAATTTTTAATTCAAATTTTGAGATGGTTTCGAACCGGTAGGGACTTGAGTTCAAATTTTGCTCCTTGAGGCTTGGGTGGTGCGGGAACACCTGTGGCTTCTGCAGAGGGAGAAGATTGAGGAGATTGCGAAGATTGTGGGAGTTTGTAGAAAGCCAGGAGCCCCTGAAACAATGTAGATAAGTGCATTTAGATTGATTTGGATTAAAATGCCTTGTTGATATTTCTTAGGAAATGATAAGTTCATTTGTATAGCCCTTTTTCGTCATGATAATGAAATTTTCATATTTGAGAGGGCTTGTGAAGATTAAGATTAAAGTTGATATCTAAGCACATGATCAAATGCATTCATGAATGTAATAAATTATGTCATTTTTTTTTTCAAAATAACTTTTATTATTTGCAACCAAATAAAATTTACTGCAAAATTTATTCACCTCCACATCTGCCTTTTTGTGCCCTTTCAATGTTTGGATGATGAACCGAGCTGCCTCCTCTGGCGTTTGTGGTGGTGTCTTGGCTTGACTCCATTCCTCTGATAGCTTTTTATACCTAAAATGTCCAAAATAAACTCACATAAATAATCAATGCTTAATTAATTATTATTAGAAGTCATATATGATAATGAATCTTTTTACTATTGAAGCTCACAGACTACTGTTGAAGTAAAAATTAGGATCTCATAGATTAAAGATAACAAAAATGAAATCAAAATATAATGATTGCATGTTAAAGAAAAAAAAAAATCAAGATCCTATGAATTCATATCAGTAGGAAAATTGGGGTCCTATGTAATTAATTTTTTTCTTGTTTTTTCCTATTCAATCTAAACATTGTCTTATATCAAACATTTGGGTAAATAATAAAAACATATTTGAGATCCTTTTATTTTTCTACATAATATCAAAGAATTGATCTCGCTCTCTCTTATGCTCCCCGTCTTTTTTTCTACCCTCCCACCCCCCATATGTTAGAGTATTCAACCCATATCACGAGCACTATTTGCCTCTTGGCCAGTCTTCTCAAAACCAACATCCATTATTTGGTTGCATTTTATATTATACGTTGTGAAGTGCACGGTATTTGAGGTTGTACAATCAAATTATAACTCATTTTTTTTAGTTGTTCTTGAGAAAATGTTGTTTACTTGTTCGATGACATGCTGCACTATAGAAAATACTCTGACACTTTCACATGGTTGTTAAACAATGGTTCTTCTCACAATGTCATCATTAATTTGAGCAATCTCTTACCTCACACTTTTTATGATGGCTTTAACAATGGTATGCTTGAAAATAACATTGGTTTTCTATAAATACGTTGGTTCTACCTCTCACAAATTTTTAAATAATGTACATTTTCAATTCAATTATAATGTATGTCAGTATTACAAATTAAGAAAAAACTTTCATTCCTTGCATCCATTATTTCATATTCTCAATTGTTTGAATAATAATCTCATAGGTGTGGACATCAACTATACATTAATTTAATGACTATTAAAATGTTATTCTCATTTTTGACATTCAATATTCTTGAAATCTCCATTATATCACATGTTTTAATTCCCTTCTCCAAGGCCTTTTTATTTGGGAAGCCTTCATGGGCCAACTTTACATTTTTTCTAAGCAGACCATCCAATACATGCATGCAAGCTTCATAAATTCATTTATGGAATTAAGCAAGCACCCTATACTTGACATCATGAACTATCATTTTTCTAGTTATATGTTTTTTCTTCCCCAAATCTTTTGTTATGCTCTTAAAAGTGTTGGTTTATTATTTATTATTTTATCTATATTAGCAACATCATTATCACATGTAACTCAATCACTGCCTATTATATTTTTTCACTCTTAATTATTCTCAATCAGGGTCTTCTACTGCACTATTTTCATAAGGCATCAATTGTTCCAAACTAATACATGCACGATTTTCTTACTTGAACTCAACACTTACTAAATCACTAAATCTAAGTTAAACTTTGGTTATGCACTCATTGATTCAACTATTTATGGCATTTTTTATGGGCATTTTACAAAAAAAAATTAGCTCTTATATGCCCAAAGATATCATTTGAGATGATTTAATTATCTCAATTTATGTGATATCTCACCACTATCAGTATACTACAATAAAATAGCTCTTATCCTTTCTATATGTGGCACTATTAATCATAGCTTTTCTTTTTTTTCTTTGGCTCACCACTTCCACTTCATATATTATTTGATAAAAGTAACAAATACCTGCTCAATAATTTTTGCTAAAACCTCATCTCCTAGTGCCAATTAACAAAATATTAACAATTATATATTTTTCCATCAAAATTAGAAACTACTCAGTTGCTACCACAGTTGTTAAGCTTAGTTTGATCTACTCCCTATTAATCAAACTAGACACTCTCCTTTCTCAAGCACCAACAATCTATTTTGATAATATAAATCACACACCTTTATGAATGAAACATTTAGCTATTTATTTGAGAACATGTTCAAAATAGTTCTTTATGTGTGGCTCATGTATCTTCTATGATTCCAATGCTTTCACTAAACCACTTTTGCTTGCTCGCTTCTCTATGTATACATATAAAAAAAATAAATAATAAATATTCAATTGACAAAAATTATATGTTATATTTAATTTAAATGAGCAATTACATACACATCATCGAAAACTTCCTATTTACAAATCAATCACCTTCTTTCATCCATCTATTTTTCAAATTTTCACTCAATATCAAAATTCATGGTAAAATCTCAACCTATATTTTTCATTTTTTTTTAATCAAATTTTCAATAGTTTAATCATGGGACACATAAATACATTTATTTGGCTGTTCAAAAAAATACACACCTTGGAGGTTCATTTGTAAATATCAATATTTTTGGTGATTTCTATGTAATTATCCCTTATTTAAATCATTGAAAATATTCCAAGATATAACTATATCAAAGGAAATTAAGGAAATCAGCATACTTCAGATAATTAAAGACAAGAAAACAATCATAACCCCACAAATTCAGTAATTTTTTTTAATAAATCTATAAATTAAATCTCTCAATATTTTCATTCCTGATTTAGCTTCAATGTCACCTCCAAAGAACTATTCTCTTCCATTCACACAAATCGTATAAGCTTGTATTAACTTAAATATCAATTAATCAAGGATCGAATTAAGTTTCTACTCACCAATTCTCCTGCGCCTTCTTGGAGGAAACAACATAGCGGCTCAGCTGCTCGGGAACCTTCAGCCCAACAAAATTAAATCAATCAACAACTGCGCAAACCCTAATTAATCCAATCGGAGCTCAATAATACTATCTGAATTCTGACCTGAGATGTGATCTCGAAGCTGGCGATGTCGCTTGCGAGGGCGGCGACCCCGCCGGAATCCCCTGAAGAGAGCCGCCGGAAACAGCCGAACAGATATCTGAAGAAGGCCAATAGCCCCATCTCTCTCTCTAGAAGAAGGAGGAAGAAGAAGAAGGATGAAGGGGATACTGTAAAGGAAAGGGGGTGAGGGGAATCTCTCTGCGCGCGTTCTGCGTGATTATGCGGAAAGAGAAAGGAAGCAGGAAGGTGAGTTGCTTAACAGAGACCCGTAGTGAAGGTTTATATAAGGATATTTATGTGGGCCCGACGCGGTAATTGAGGTGAAGTTTTGGGTGCCGCGATTTTGGGTGTGGGAAGGATTTTGTTTATGGCGAATGAAATTGATTGTCAAAAAAGACAGATCGAGACAGGTGGCAGGATTTCATTTGTTGCTTCTTTGTGGGGTTTTGCGGTGTAG